GGCGGCGGCGCCGGCGCGCGCCGGCCCGCACGGCTGGCGCGGCGCGGCGGCGCGGGCGATGAGGGGGCAGGGGCCTGCCGCCTGCTACGCTCTTATGGCGCTGTCGTTTGTCGCAGATTTGAGCGTTGCTACCCTCGTGTACCCCATTACAATGCTGTTGGTTCCGATGCTGGCGCAGCGAACGTGCAGGACATATTGGAAGGCGAGCGGGCGGGGTGCGGTTTCGGTCGCATGACTAGCATCCATGACTAAGCATCCATCCAACGTGCACATTGCCAATACTTGAGGGTTCAGCCTGAATCTGCATCTAGCTGCAGCCACTGGGCATCCGGCTGGCCTAGGTTGGAGTGGCTTCTTGCACCCCTGATTCTTTAACCCATGCAGCCCAGCTGCGCCTGCCCACCTGCCCGGCGCGTTCGCCACTCTGCGTGAAGCCCTCCCTCAAGATTGAGCCTTCAGAGGACCCGGAACCATCTGGCATCGTTCCAGCTGATTGCTCACCACGGACTTTGGATTCGCCCACACACCCAAATTTCCTTGTAGCTCCTCATTTCCAATTCCAAAGCCATCAACCCTTGTCACCCGCAGGCGGCGCTGGTGTACTCGGAGGTGCTACTCATCCTGCAGTACACGCTGCTGGCAATGTCCCGCTGCATGTGCGACCCATCGGCCCCCGCCGGGCCCGAGCCCGGCGGCTGCATCGCGCTGCTGGCAGGCCCTGTGGCGCGGCAAAGGTGAGCGCCGGGCTATCTCACACGAGTGCGTCTGATTTCTTCCTTGTTTCATTCCTGTCATTCACCTCTGTCGTTATGTTGCTTTTGGTTCCGAATCAACGGTTTGCTTGACCCCCAAATTGGGCTGAAGTGAGGTCATGGAGCCCCTTGATTCAGCCAAACACACGCATCCGCGCCCCGCCGTGCCCCTGTGCCCCCGTCACAATCATCCCCGTCGCTCAAACACACACACGTCAATCGTCCTCCCACCCACCCAGGCTGCGGGTCATCGGACTGCACCAGTCCGCAGTCCGGGCGCTGCCGCTCTTCCTGGTCTACCTGTCACTCCTGGTCTTCAATTCGTCACTCGACCAGTACCGCCCGCTCGGCTTCCTGTCTCCGCCGAGGCCCCCGCGGCGCGGCGCGGCCGGAGCGCAGGCCGGGCGGCGGGCGGCGGCGGGGGAGCTCGCGTTGTGGGCATTTGGTGGGTGGCTTTACGGGCAGTCGCGGCGGCGGCGGGCACGTGCTTGCCCGTGAGAGGGGCTGACACAGATAAGGCGGCAGGTTGTCGATCGCGTGCCGGACTTTGAGCCCAGCTGCTCACGCAGCGATCTTGCTCTCAATTCGGCCTCACAAAGCAAGCTCGCTGCTGCAGCGCGTACGTGCGCGCACACTCGTGCGCACACACGCGCGCGCGCGCCGCGCATGCACACACACGCCGCGCGCTCGCACACAGCGCGCGCACACACACACACACACACACACACACACACACCTCACCCCTCCCGTGCCGCCCCAGGCTGGGTCCAAGGGGTCGTGTCCGCAGTCGCCTACGCGTGCCGCGCGGTGTGGGACCACATCCGCGCCTTCGCCTTCCCCCACGAACGACATCCCTCCTGGATCAAGGTGGAGCTCGGGCCGCCGCCCGCGCCGCCGCTAATCGACGGCCCCGACGATGCCGCAGAGGGCGGCGCTGCACAGGCCGCGGCGCCGCCGCCACCGCCGCCGCGCGCGTGGTGCACCCCCGAGGGTGCGGCGGCGCTGCAGGCGGCGCTGCAGGGATCCTTGGACGCCCTCAGGTCCTCGGACGCCGGCCGCGCGTCCGAGGTTGCGCGCGCCCCGGACGAGGGGCTGGTCGCGCAGCCGGGCGGCGCGGGGCCGGATGCGGCGGCGGGGTTGGCGCCCGGATTGCCGCCGCAGGCGCAGCAGGGGCAAACCTCGGGGCCGGAATTGGAAGAGGCAGTCGCGATGCTGTGGTCAGAAGGCAGCACCGACGGCCTCAGCGAGTCGCCGTTGGGCGCCGGCCCGCCCGGCGCGTCCTCCGTCACGGATTCCGAGGCCAGCTGGCGCGGGGCCGGCGACGGCCTCGGCGGGCTCCGAGGTTACGGCGGCGGCGCAGATCTGAGCTCGATCGGGCGGCTGGTGCTGCGGTTAGATCGGGTGGTGTCAGAGGATTCGCTAGATGGCACCAGCGGCGGCGGCAGGGGACGAGGAGGAGGG